TCATGTTCCTCTTCAAGACAGGCAGGGCTATTGTTTATGTGTTACATCGAATCTCTTCCTGAGTTGTTTTTTCTTCCCATTCCTCCTCAAATTCCTTGGTACTGCATTCAGGGATGTTTGTACTTAAATTTATAACCACTTTTCAAGATCTTTTAATCCAGTACTCCAGCTTTTTTAATGAGGAAGAAGAGTGCAGCCTGATGAACTGGTCCCCCTTGTGCTTTCATGGAAGTCAGTAGGGGTTTGTTCTTGTGTTGAGGGAGAGCAGAGCAGAATCTCCATCCTGTATCTTGTTTAGCTCAGCAATGTGACTGTACCTGCTTCATAGCTGGGGAGAGAAGGGATGGACACCCTTCTTAAACTCTTCTCCCATCTAAGGTACTCCAGTCATCAGCGAAGTGCATACGAAAACTCCTTCCACTTCATCTGGCACTATCTGTTTTCTCTGACCAAAACTTTTAGGTAGAAGTTAGAGGTATGCAACCACTGTGACTATGGAAGGTTACGCTAGACCTAACTGTGTGGCCACAGCAGCAACAGCTCTGTCAGATACTTTCTTATTAGAGAGCCTTCATAAGTGGTGTGCTCAGTAATGCAAAGGATAAAGTAGCAACAGCTTGGGTTTCATTTACCAGACTGGAGTTTAGAAAACACTCATCTGCTCTTAAAGCAAAGTAAAAGCTTCCCCTGACTGCAGAGCACTCTGTGGAGCAGGCTTAAGAGAGAATAAGCCCTGCAATACTCCAGGTATTGAGAAAAGTGCTTTTCTGGCTCTTAATACATTTTAATTTCTAATAATAAACCTATAAGCATTGAGAGCAGTATAACCCTAAACAGTAGCTAGAGTGAGTACTGTAGCTGTACATGACATTTTCCAACAGAATTTCAGTCACCTTCAGTAATGGTTGACGATTCCTCTTAGTTTCTATAATTGAGTCATTTTCCCTTCTTGGTACTCCACAGAGGAGGAACATAACCAGGAGCATTTTAACACCGCTGTATTCTTCCTTGCTGTTAAAACATAGTGTATAGGGATGGGAACTCTTTCAAGCAGATGCAGAACACTAAATGCCATGAGATTGTTATGCAGCAGTTTGAGGAGGAAAGGAGTAGAGGAGGAGGAGTATCCAGGATACACTGAGTCCCTTTTTTCTTCCTCACAAAGAGCAGAGCCCTCACATGTTATGTTGCAGTCTCTAACTAGGGATTTCAGGTCATCTTACACTGTCTATGTAGTCAACAACGAAAGAGGCAGCAGGCAGTTCAGCTCACCTATGATTTGAGTTGACCTCTGGGAGGGACTTTCTTCATCAGCTGAGAAGTACTGATTTGAGCTGTTTTATCCCTCGTAATGGGCATGTATAGCTCAACCAGCCCGAGTCTCCATAGGTGCCAACCTCAGCACCAGTTCCTAGGGGTTAACATCTGTGCATGACAGGAGCCTAGAGTAAAGCAGATACTGCTGGTGGGATGGATCGTGGCTGGCCAGCCATGTGCAGAGCCCAGCCTGCCCCTCTCTGGCTGGGCACCCGCAGCTTGCCATCACTCCCATGCATTCCCACCAACAAATTGCAGCAAGCAACTATGATGTGTGTTTTGACAAAGGTATCGCTATTAAGTATTTGATTTTAACCACTGGCTTCATTTTACTTAGCACATGGAACATGTACGTTGATGAGGAACGATTTGAGACACGTGTAAAGCAGGAACAATAACCCATAGTTTAATGTCCTGTGGCCGTGTAAAAAACTGCCATTGCTGTTTCATAGGGGTTTTTTTTTCAAATTAGCTTTCAATCAAGGTTTCCTTTTTCTGTCACCTTCCTTACTGCAGTACCTTTCCCCAATGGCTGGAGAGTAAATTAGCTCAGTGGAACTCAGAACCACGCCAGGTATTTTGGCATTGATGGTCTAATTTGTCATACTGTGGTAAAACGCATTCTCATTATTTGCCACTGTCATCAGCCGGTGTTTGCTTCTCTTAAACACCAAGCTCAGAAAAGACTTGAAGCACATGCTTAATTCCTGCCTGCTCCACCAAGGATATAATTTTAGTATGTGTTCAAGCAATCATTAGATAAACATCTTTTGGTACTTGTCTCTTGGTTTGCGTGTATATAGTTAGCTCCTTTATATTTAAAAGATGGCCCAAGTCTGAATCTAAATAAAAATCACTTCAAGTATGAGCACAGACAATTCCACGTTACCAGCCACAAACCTTTTAGGCCTCTTGATGTGCTGTGTGGTACCACTTGATATCTGGCAACTGACATGGTAGTAATTGCCTGTCAATCAATTAATCCTTTAGGGTAAAATGTGAAGAATTTCAGTACCTTGTAAATAAGATTGGTCTTCTCCCTTCTGCTTCTGTTTATGTTCTGCAGTATATAGCTGATGAGTAGAGCCTGTATGAATATACTCTTCTGTGGCAGGAGGTCAGATGAAACACTGAGAAAAGACCATCTGGTTAATGCAGGTTATTTGTTCCTCGCCTCCATGAAAAAGAGAAAGTCACTTCACATCATTGCCGTGACACATGTCCTGATTGATTGGCAATGGGGGAGAGAAGACTTTCCATTTTCATTTCTGCATGACTTGCTGGCTTTCTCACAGCAGAATGAGTTTGTTTCCCATCTTTTCCAGAACAACATCCAATGTGTTGATCTTTATGGCTGTGTTGGTTGTAATTAGGCCCCAGAATGTGTTAGTGTAACAGCATTTTGAGACCTTTTTATAATATAGCCACTTTCTTATACCTAGCTTTAATTTTCACTTGTTCAGCATATTGGCGGATGGAGTCTAACTGAGCTCTTGCTTGTAGGTGATAGTGGTGGTTGGATTTGTTCACTGCTCGTGTCCACATTGATACTAAAAAGGAGGATGTAGCATTTCATTTTTCTGCAAAATAACTTTGAGAATGTCAGTGATGTGTTGGTGTGCAAGTCTTTAATCAATGGGGTGTATACTCAATGCTGTGAGCCACCAGGCACATCTTTTTGTGATACTTTCCATAATACTTCTCCCAGGTCGTGTCTTCCAAGTGTAGGTTAGGAAGTCTTTCTAATTCATTGTCCATTTAATATTTTATAGTTTGAAATACATGAGTAGTACTGATAAAAATTCCAGTACATCAGAAGTTAGATCTAGGTTTATAAATAGGTAGGTAGATATGTCGATATATCTATCTATCACAGATAGGTGCTATTTAACTGCTAGACTATAATGCCTGTGAACTTCTCACAGAGGTGCAAATCATTTATTCGCTGTCGTATGACAGGCATAGTGCCAGAATTTCTTTGTTTCCACATTTGAGGTGATACCACTTTTCTTATGTCTTTTGTAATGTAGAGTTAAGTACTTTTAACCTTACAACCTTGCTATTAATCTGTTTCACTATTTCTCAATGATGAATTCCATTTCTTTGGAAAACACTGTATACAGTCGTGTGGTAGTGTCAATAAAATTGACATTTGTGTAACAAGCTGTGGCATTTTCTCAAACTTTGCTGAACATTGATTTAGTGTGAAACTGTTGGTAAATCCCTTCTTGCTAGCTGTAATAGTACAGACCTTTATTTCAGACAAATACTGCTTTGACTTTGATTTATAGTAGGCTACATAACTGTCATGATTACATAAACTGATAACTGTATTGTTTTTTTCCTTTTCTTTTCAAAGGAATGACATACAAACATGAACTGGTTTGGAATTGAAAAACATTCATGTTCTAGCAATAAATCTCGAGTTCTTCCAGAAAATAAATAGGTTTTACTACTGGCCTAATTATATTTATTGGTGCCTGTGTTTACTGGAGTATCTCAGCTATGTTGTAGCAACAGGAACACTTACCTACCATAATCTAGGGAGGACGTAAACACATGATAGTAAAATGTATTTGACCTTAGTTATATATGGTGATGTATGTGTTTTACATTTTGATCCTAGACAGCCTATTAGCTGTGGTAATCAAGATCTTGTCACAGGTTTTTTTATTAGATTTTAATGTATGATGCCAAAATGGTACAGACTGTAAATATTCTTCCACATAACAGATCCGTCTTCTAAAACAGGTTTTAGATTTTCAGATGTTTGGAGGAGGGGGTAACTGGGAGAACGCTGGGCATTTTTGGCACTCTT